TTCAGTCTTGGTCTCTCTCTTCTCTAGAGTTACTTTTTAAGCCAAGCTCAAAGCCTGTGCAGCTCAGAGCGGAGTGCCATTCCTGACTCGTTGCGTTGGCTGTGTCACCCACTGGGACAGAAATTTTTTGTGGAGCGGAGCTGGACAGTAAAATCTGCTGCAAAGGAGAGTCTGTACTGCACCCAAAGGAATCCTGGTAAGATCCTGTGCTAGTTTTGAATGTTTGACCTCCTAGCAATTACAGCTGGGGAATCTCTCCATCCACAAGGGGTTGCTTGAGAGCATTCTCTTGTGCACAAGTTGTCTTACCTGTAGGAGCCTGCTCCCCTCAGCAGTTGAGAGGGGCTGTGGAGCAAAGAGATGTCTCCCCAGACCCTGCAGGAGCTGCTGCTCTTCCCTTTGTACATCACACTGGCTTTACATGTTATCCCAGTTGTGTTTTTGTGTGCTGGTATCAGAACCTAGTTGTAGCACTGAACGTCTAAGGGATGACTTACGGGTGACCCAGGTTTGTTGTCTTTGGAACTGTGCCACAGACAGAGTGTCGAGTAGCTGATGTGTTAGAGATGTTTGGCTTCGGATTGTGATTGAAATGGCTAATATGAGTGGCTACTGGTAAAAAGGCTCAATATCTTAGTCTTTATAAATCTCTGCAATAATTTCTCAAGAATTTCCCTAGGCTGCTCTTCCTCTTACCCCTTAAAATTTGACTCTTCCGTCTGCCTTTATGTATATCAGGAGGTGGTTTGCACAGTGTGTAAGAGAAGTGGTTTGTTCTTTCTCTCTAGCGGATCCCATTGCACAGGTTCATCAAGCATTTTGTGAGAACCTGCTAGAGCGAGCTGTGGATTCGCTTGTGAAACCTCAGACTGGAAAAGAAGTAGTTGGACAAGAGGAGGAGGAACCATGGTAAGTTTCTGTGCTGGGGCTGGGACTGCTATAGGGAACTGCAGACTGAAACGTTTCAAACTGTTAATCGTACACAGAGTTCCCTGGGGCAAATAGAGTGGTTAGTCTTTAATCATGAGTTAAAATCATGACACCAATCTGACTGCTGCAGTTTTAGAAGAGTGAGCTTAACCTCTTCATATTAGAACCTCTCAAGTCAAAGGTGAAATTTTGGCTGTTGCTTGATGAGATAAAGATTTCTCATTTCAGCTGGCACACTGCCGATTGATTCCTACAATGACAGTTTCAAAGCTGAGTAACACTAAAATTAGCACGCAGCTACTGTTTTAATTGACCATAACATGTGTCCAAGATTCTGAGAATGGCATAATCCAACTTGTTAGAAAAAAGGACCCAGCTGACTCCCTACATTATGCATGAGAATATTGCTGTAATGGAACAAAGTGTGACATTTAGCAGCAGTGAAAAATCAAACCGGTGTGTGGCAAGAGTGGGAGAGCAGATGCTGGGTCAAATTGTCATTGGTCTTTGTCAGTACTGTGAGCAAAGGAAAGGGGTTGATATGGAGGAATGGGAGAGGTTTTTTTATTTTATTTATTTATTTTTTATTTTTCACACCAAACTACATCCAGTTTCTAGCTGGTGTCCAGGTATGTCAGTGTCCAACAAGTGCTAGGCAAATAAATGGAAAGTTTTATAATGATGGTATCCCCCCAAAAGTATGGGCAGAACCCTCAAATGGGGAAGATGGCTTAGTTTTCCTACCTGCATAGGAGTAGTATGTACTTAACTTTAATTTCAATCTTGCATCTTCTTTCTATCATCGTTGCAGAGATAGAGCAGCAGTGCAGTCTAATTGTTGAACCAGTATAGATACAGATGATCAGATGCTGCTGTTGATAGGGACGGTGCGGGGTGTAAGTGAAGTAGATTATCAAGATACTTGTGAAAGTTCTGTTTCGTAGTTGGCAGGAGTAGCTCTGTTAATACAGAAGACTTTCACCCTCCCCCAAAGGTAGGAACTTGAGGTTGTTCTCTGTAGCCTACCCAAGGAAATTAGATCATTACCACATATGCTACTTTTGCTGATTAGCACTGTTTAGTAACCACTTGGAAGAATGTAGTTGAGCCTCTTTTGGAGGCAGTGATTGAAAAGAAGCCTGTAATCAACTTGTTAGACATCTTATCTGTCAGCAGACTCAAGATACTAGAGGGGATGCTGGCAGCTTCTATTTAGTGTTTGTAAAATGTGCAGTGCTGACTAAGTACCAGCGTAGATACTTCCACTCTAAATATGTGTTACATGCCTTGGTTTGCTTCTGCATGCCCAGCCTAGTCCCTCCCACACCAGTGGCACCACCTCTTATTTCTAAGTACTCGAGTACAGCCTGCTTGCCTGCTCTTTAACTGTAAGGCAAATGTCTGTAATGAAAAGCTCCCTGGGAATTCCAGCATTTCTGTAGCTGAGGTGAGAGTCCTTGGGTGGACTCTAATTCTCAGCTGTTTACCTTTCCATAGGGAGAGATTGGTAATTCTCCAACAGATATCTTTAAATAACACAAGACTGTTGGACTAGAGTTTGAACTTTCTGCTTCCACCTGCTGGCTTAAGGGGTCAACATTGTTTAAAAATACATCATAACTGATTAGAAATACCTTCAGGCTTTGCTCTCTCTCGTTGGGCAGCGTAGTGAAGGTCTGCCTTGTTTTTTATTTCAGCGAATTCTCTGGGGCGATGGAATATCTGAAATTGCTCAACTCTTTCTTGGACTCAATGGGAAGTGGAGCCCCACCCTTTGCCAGCAATTCTGTGCTCAAGTCAGCACTGGGTAAGTATGGCAGAGCAGGAACTCTCCCAGCTGTAGGAAATATTGCAGAAAGATGTTTCCTCTCTGCCTTTCAACCTTTCACACTCCAGGCGTGGCAGAGACACAGCCCTTGCTGGAATGAGATGCAGGTTTTGAGCAGCACCCCACAGCACCCTAAGCAGCTCAGGCTGGAAGCGGGGGTGGTTAAGAAGGCTCTTAAATGCAGCTGTGAATGATAACGCAGGTGGAGTTGCAGTTATTTTTGTGACTAATGATGATGGGCACTTCGGGCATGTTCCAAACAGTGCACCATGCCCTGACCTTAGAGCTTAGATTTGATGATGCAGAATGAGGAAAAGGTGGTAGCATATAAACAAGCATAGTAGCACTGTGGCTGGATACAGGAAGTCCTGTCTGCTCTCCAGAGATGCTTAATAATGACCTATTGGCCCAAGTATAAGTTGACCTTGCTTTTATAGCATCCGTCGTGTTCATTCTTCAGTCTCCGGAACTTCCAGCCCTGCAGCTCCTGCTCTCAACTAGCTCTGGACATACAATGGGGGACACTTGCTATGGTCCCTTGGAGACTATGTAGTGGGAGAGTTAGAGCTGTGGACTCTGGGCTCTGCACTCAGTTGAGCTTGTCAGGTAGCCAGTTCTTGGAGTGCTTGTCTTGCTTGATGTTGGTAAAACCAGCACCTGGCAGTTCATGGGGCTGCTGCTGGAGCTTCTAGGACAATTGGTCTGCACCTAAAGTGTATAGCGCCAACACAGGAGGGAAGCGAGATATCTTTTGTCCAGGGCTTATATTTTGGGGTAAAGGGAAATTTATGTTTGGGTCAATATTGCCATGAAATTTAAAAGCAGGTCAGCATAGCAGTATTGTCATGAAATTTAAAAGCAGGTCAGACTAGCAGAACCAACGTCCTTTGGCCCTGCGTAGACTCCAGGATGCTCTTGAGGGAATGTGAAATAATGAAGAAAATAGCACCAGAGATCTGATGAGAGCTCTTTACCAACTTGATGATGCTCAGTGCTGAGACATGGTGTATGCTGCTGGAATTGTTACTGCAGGCTGGGGAGTGGAGGTCTGCGCTGGGAAGGAAGGTGAGGAATTTCTAGAGGAGTAGATGGGGATCTTGTTGGCAAGACCCAGGCTCAGTATCTAAAAACCCACTTGCTGCCAGGTGTCAAGTGCTTGCTTGCTGCCAAGTCACTTAGCTGTGCTCCCTCAGCATGTTTCAGCGTCCCCCTAGCCCGCAGTGTTCCTGTGAGCCCCATTGCTTGCATGCCTTTTTCAGCTCACTGGTGAGACCTTGGTGGAAGGCTAGGGCCTACAACATGCACCCTTTTGTCTGAGCGGGGGCTAGCTTGGTCTTCTCTCCTTGGTTGCAACCTGTGGTTCTGTTTCCATAGGCCCAGACGTGGTGTGCAGATGGTGGTCAGCGGCAGTGGCTATGGCAATCGGTTGGCTCAGAGGGGACGATGCGGCTGTGAGGTTGCATTTCACAGAAGTGGAGCGCATGCCGAAGGCCCTGGAGATGTCAGAGTGCGTAGGCATCTTACTACCTTCAAACTCCGGTTCCTTCTAGCCAGGAGCGGCTGTTCCTTTAATACCTGTCCTGTGGCTGCTCTCGTCTGTGCTGTGGAGTCGCAAGCTGATCGTATCGGTGCTGTTTGGTGCCATAGCATGAGGTGTAAATGTGCCAAATAACAGATGCGTAGGTCCGGGCTTGCAGGCTGATGTTAGAGCTGTGGATTGGAAGAGTCTGTAGGGAACAGAATTACTTCTTTATGGATGCTTTCTTGTTTCCATTCTAATCCTGCCTCTCTCAGTCAAATGGCACAACTTGTGCACACAGACTGATGAAAGGCTCATGTCACCATCTTTACTCGTTCCCATTTAAGTTTCCTGGCCAGTTTCCTTCCATTTCTCTAGCTCGTGTAGGTGAGCAGAAATTTCATCCTTTTGCTGTCTTCAAGAAGTTATGATCTCCCTGCTCTTAAAGCTGCGAGGGTGAAAGGTGATACCGGTGTTCTCTTGAGCTCAGCTGCAGGGGCTGCCCTGTGGCAGTGTGAGCAGCGTGCCCTAGGCTTGCTCACAAGCAGTGCTCTTTCTCTTTCAGGAACGCCCTCGTGAGAGCCACCTTCCACGTGTGCAAAGCCATGCAGGCCTCGCTGTCCGGCAAGGCAGACGGGCAGCAGAGCTCCCTGGGGCACTGCGAGAGGGCCAGCAGCCACCTGTGGAACAGCCTTAACATGAGCAGCGGCGTCTCCAGTGCCATCCTCAGCAGCGTAAGGGATAAGCCGTGGGGAAATATGTGCTGGAGGTGTTGGGTCTGAAGTTGGTTTTGCCATAGGTGCTCCCCCGGCTTGTTTCTGTCTTCATTCTCCATTCATTCTGTGTCTGATGGTAGTAGGAGAGAACACTCTTCCCTTCCAAAGGACGTGGACGTTTTTCTCTCTCTGCTCTGGAGGGACAGTCCAGCAGCTACTCTGTTCTTTCCTGGACATGGTCTCATTTGGCTGAGCCACTGACTTGGTCCCGCCAGTACCTGTCACTTCTTCTCTGGTTCTTTAACCACTTCTGATTTCGCCCACAGAAAACTTCCGTCTCAGCCCTGTCAGTGAAGCTGCTGACACGTGTGGGCCTAGTTAAGCCAAGCCTGCTGCCTTTCAGGCAGCACTTGAGCATTGAACCCTCTGCCGCAGGAGTAGGTCTCTGCTGTGCTATTCCTGAGTTTGTGCATTGCTCGTGTCTTTTCTTTCCAGGATTATTTAACGCTGGAGCTACCGTGCGTGGCACATGGGATAGAGCTGCGATCCCTCCTGCCGCTCCTGGGTGGCAGCTGTGGTGCATTGTAGTTGCATTGCATGTCTGGCAGTCACTGTGCAATGTTTCTGCAGTGCAGTACAGAGGCACTCCGCATTTCTACAGCGCAGATAGAATCTCTTAAGAGCAGTTAGAGTAACAAACTGCTGGGTGGCAGCAACAGATGGGGAAAAGGGATTTAGGTAGAAAATGTGGGTTGTGTCAAGACTGCTTCCCCCTCTCCCCCCCCGCAGATGGGGGGATCTCTTTACCTTGTAATTGCTGTCTTTGTCTGCTTGGTGTCACTGTTTAGATAGACCTTTGTAGAAGACTGAGACGTTGCAAGTGCAGAGAGCTTGTGGCACGTGCTCCCTGAGGTGGGCTTGGTGTCAGCCCTGCAGACATGTTGGCTGTCCCTTGGGTACAGCCGGGTGCTCCATCCCTTGGCCTGGAGCTGTTGACGCAAGGCCACAGAGATGCTCCTTAGGCTAAAGGTTTATTGTGGGTCCTGCTTCAGTGAATACGTTATAGTGGAGTTGGTTTTCTTCAGAGTGCCAGGGAGCACCTCTTGGGCACACAGAAGGTGCTGCAGCCAATGCCTTGCAGGCAGCTGTGCCACAAACAACCTGTTACTCACCTATCAGTCGTCTCACGTGTGTGTGTGTGCCTGGGGTCTCGTTCCTTACAGATGATGCAGCTGCTGGCCTGTGACTTGCTGCTCTCTCTGCGCACCAGCCTGTGGCAGAAGCAGGCGAGCAGCAGCCAGGCCTTGGGGGAGACCTACCACGCATCCGCCTCCGAGCTCACAGGCTTCCAGCGGGACCTGGGCAGCTTGCGCAAACTGGCCCATGGCTTCAGGCCTGCTTACCGCAAGGTAATCCCACCTCTTCTCTTCTCGCTTTTCTCTTCATCCCTGAGAGGAAGCAGAAGTTTTGGCTAGCCCTTGGCAGGACTCATGGAGTGATGACAGGGAAGCTGCTATCCTAAAATTGTCAATAAATCATTTGCCTAGGCCAGAGTTCAGGAATTTTCTCTTCCTTTCTCTGCTCCTTGCTGCTTTTCTTCTCCTTTCCCAGGCCTCTAGCCTAGAAAATGGTTACATGGTAAAAGCTTTTATCCTCTTTACAATTACCCTGACTTGCAAAATTTCTAGAGGCAGGCGGGAAAAACAAGGAATATCGAAGTGGTGGTGGTGTTATGAAGATGTCAGCACTATGCTGTTAAAATGCTGCTGCAAAGGGATGGCCTGAGTTGAGCCGCTGTTGCGGAGGGATGGCCTGTGCGAGTTGGTCACTGCCTGCCCTCTCTTCCCTCCTAGGTTTTCCTCCATGAGGCCACCGTGCGCCTGATGGCGGGTGCCAGCCCTACCCGCACGCACCAGCTGCTGGAGCACAGCTTGAGGCGACGCACGGCGCAGAGCAGCAAGCAAGGTCAGCCCCGGTGTTCGGAGAGCAGCCCCCGCCCGGGGCTGGGCTGCCCCAGGCACAGGGCACTGACTAACTTGGGCAAGCAGCAGGCTGCAGTCAGCCGCGGCTGTGGGATGTTGTGGCCTGCGGCTGCTACACAGTGTCTTCCCAACTCTGTGACTTTTGAGGCTCAGGAGGACAGACCCCTATGAGCCCCTCGCTCCTGTAGGCGCTTCTGCCATGGGAGGCACAAGCAGGCGAGAACAGGGGCCACCAGCCCTGGGAAGGAGTTAGCGGCAGACACGTTGGAAAACGTTTGCGTGTATGGGCCTGTATGCAAAAAAAACCCTCCATGGACGAAGGCAGGAGCCTTAAAGGGAGCAGTCAGAGGCATGATGCTGATTATAAAGTTCTTCTAGGACTTAATGAAACAGATCTGCATTTTCAGTGCTGGGGTAAGCCCTATAAAGCACCTTAAGAAAGTAAAATGAAAGGGCCATTCCTGTAGAAGCAGTGATCACCTGTAGCAACCCTGAAGGCCTTGCTTGATTCCAGCTCGAACTTGCACTTTAGGTTTGATTAATTGCTTGGAGGTTTGCTGTTCAGCTGGGAGATACTGGAGCCTGCCTTCTGCTTTGCCAGCCCTGAGACATCCTCTCAATTGCCAGCTAAGGCTCCGTTTGGAGCTGTATTTTGAGGGCTTTCGTAGTGCTAAAATGTTTTGTAGTTTCAATGCATGTTTGTCTCTTCTTTTTGTGCTTAGGTGAGCTAGACACGCTGCCAGGCCAGAGGGAGCGAGCTACAGCTATCCTGCTGGCCTGCCGCCACCTGCCCCTCTCCTTCCTCTCCTCTCCCGGGCAGCAAGCCGTGCTGCTGGCAGAGGCCGCGCGCACGCTCGAGAAGGTGGGAGACAAGCGCTCGTGCAACGACTGCCAGCAGATGATCGTCAAGCTGAGCGGGGGCACGGCCATCGCTGCCTCCTAACGCCAGCGCGGGGCTGTGTCGCACAAAGGCAGCCTTTGGACCGTCAGCCTGGACTTCCCCTCTTGAGTTTAAAACAAAAGAAAAAAGGAGAAAATCCCAAAAAAAAGAAAAAAGGCAGTAGGCTAGGTCTGTGCCAGTGGGATCGTTGTGGGGGTGGGAGAGGGAGGGAGGGTTTTTTAACTTGTCCCAGGTTTAGCTTTATTAGCCCCCTTGCTTGCTCTCAGGCACTGCAGCAGGAGTCTAGTTGTAGTTCTGTGGCTGTGCTGGGGGCTCTGAGACAGCCCTGCTCCTGCATGCAGTGGCTGGGCTGTTGAATCTACAAACCCAAGGGGCAGGCAAGGCGGCACATCCTCCGTCTGTCCTCAGGGCATCGCCTTCCCTTCCCCAATGCCTCTGCAATAGGAGCCTTCTGGAAGGGCAGAGGATGTGCTCAAGCCTTGCCCTGGGGCATCACTGGGGTCTGAGGCCCTGTGCAGGCTGCCCCAGAGGAGGGAAGGCCCCCACGCTGTGTGCATCAGGAGACCTCACTGAAGCCCTCTAGACCCCCTACTTGTACAGAGGTGCTCTGGGAGTATTGCTTGGGGGCCAGTCCTGCCTGGCAAATTTCTCTACAGTTTTTATACAGTTTTTTTTTATAGGAATGTTTGTGGCTTTACAAAAGGTAGGGAGCAACGCAGCAGATTTCCTCTCCACTTCATGCATCTCCTTTTGGTGACCAGAGCTGCCTCCTGCCATTTCGGGTGGGGGCCAAGTCTGGGGCAGCCTGCAAGCAGAATGTACCTATGGGGTTGTTTGTCTCAGCCTCTCAGGCTCTGGTCATTTGGTGCTGGATGTTGGCAGAGGTGGATGTGCAGAGCCCACACTTGTATGAAGGGTGAAGACTATGGTGCCTTTCTGTTGGTGCAGATTGAACTTTTCAGAAACATTTTTTTTCCCTTATATTCTGAGTCCCAGAACTTACTTTCATGTCCTTCTCCCTATCCTTTCCAAGTGCTTGACAGCTCTCGCACACGCAGCAGGCTGACTACCTGCAGACCTGGCAGGCGCTGACTAAGGGCGCGAGTCTCCCCACTCCAGTACCAGGCTGCTGCCTTGCGAGCAGCCTGGCTCACAGGATTGAATCATGGGACTTTCAAGGGAGAGAGGCAAGCCTGGGTTAGGAGGGAATGGTTTTGCCTTTCCAATTGCATCTGTCCAAAGGTATGCAAAACGGTTGTCCTCTCAGACATGTAAGTAGGGAAACTAGCCTTTGGTGGGTGCACATTGCCTCTTCTCCCCACCTGTCTGTGCTCCACATGGGCAACTAGAAGCCCGCAAGTGCTGGCAGCAGCCTGGTCCTTTCTTGTCCTGAGCAGGCAAATGATTCCTCCCTGCAACATCAGTACTCTGGCTATTTTGCAAGATGCTTCTATATTTATCCAGCTTTTACAGAGGGACATGAGAGCCTGAGATGCTCTAAAATGCAGAGGGAGAAAAAGATGGGCTTGTGTCTCCCTTTTGATGTCTTAGGAAGGTGGTTTTATGTGCTGCAGTAGTTGAACACATGTAATACTGGGCGTAGAGTTGCCTCAGTTCAACAAGATGGAAACTGTCCGGGAGTAATCTGACTCCCAGCGAAGCCTGTTCGCAGCAAACCTGTGCTATAGCTAGGCACAAAATCATGGGGACCAGAGTGCATCTTCTCACTGTTACTTGGGGACTTGCTGATAGACTCCAAGCTGGTGGTTGCTGGTGGCCTTAGCTGCTCACCGCTGCTGGCAGGCGAAGACGTGAGAATCTCCTGCTTCCCCGTGCCGGGAGCCTGAGGAAAGCTTTGAGGGAGGATTGTGATCTTGCCTCTCTTAAATCGGTGTGTGGGATGCTCCGGTTCAGGTGACGGCAGCTTCTGCTTTGAGTGCATGTTCCAAGCATGCCAAGTGCTGATTGGCATAAGACCGGCTGATGTTTTTTAGGAGGGCTTCAATTGCCCATTACTGAGCTTCTTGGCTCTCAGTGATCCTCTTTGCGGGGTGACTCATCCACCCTTTCTCTAAGTAGCTATCCCACTATCTCCAAGCCTTGGGTGTCGCAGTCTCCAAGCTGGGGTTTTACTGGCTACAGGAATATTTTCGCCGTTAACACCCTCCAGAGTCATTTCCCGTCTTCCTGGCTCTGTGTGCAGTGTGTTGGAAGCTTGTGCATTCGTAACGCAGGGGAGCAGTGTTGGGAGGAGATGGAGGTTCTCAGCCTTCACTTGCCCTTTGAACGTGATCAGAGCCCTAGGAGTGGGGCTGTAGGGAGCACCAACTGTGGATGGGCTTGGGAGGCTGTTGGGCTGCAACGCCAGTAGCTGATGGGTTTTAGCGCTGCTGGCATTTCTCTCCTGTCCAGGGCAAGGGGTCTTTGTCCTCTTCCTCTACACTGTTCATAAATTTGCTGCCCGTCTGTCCCTACGGTTTTTTATATATGTGTGTATATACTGTAACTTTTTTGTTTGAGGGCGGAAATTGTACGGATTATGTGAAGAAAGTCTATTTATCCAAATGGAATTAAAGGTAGGAACATTTTGTCATAAAAGATGCAACTGGTGGTGGGAAAGTTCCCAGGGGAACATCTCTGCCGTCTGAAAACCCTGTTCCAGGGCTTGTGAGATCTGTTACCTAATAAAGGTGACCGTTACCACTGTGTTGTGTGTGCCGGCCTTCTCCCTCTCAGCAGCTGCTTTGAAAGTAGACAAATAGAAACAGAGCTCTGAATGCAAGAGCCCTTCAAGTCCCAGAACTTACCTTCATGTTCTTCTCACTCTGTTTTCCAAGTGCTTGGCTGTGCTCACGTGCCCACAAGAGAAAACAAGCCGGTGCTAATGGTTCTGAGGATCTGGTGCTCTTTTTTTTCAGGGCCTTTTATTTTTTAATTCTGGTCTGGTCCTGACCCCTGAATGCTGGTTTGCAGTTGCAGTGTGTATCCTATCATTTAGTGTCCAAGAGCTTTCACCGCATTTGGCCAGTTGTGCCTCTAGAAACATTTTGCTGGTTCCCTTCCACCCCAGTGTCAGTTTGTAAGATCCTTGTTTTTCCTTTTGTGCTGACTGCGTTTTATAGCCTTTCCCTGAATGCAGGGTGCTGTGCTGCCTTGCGCGCAGCGCTCTGCCACGCAGCAAGTTGGCGTGTGCTGCACCAGCTGCGTTGGGGCTCTGAAGGGTGTTGACAACTTGCCCAGGGCCAGTGTGGTACTGCACAGCACCTTGGCTTGCTACTCCCCTGAGCAGCCAGTTTCTGCTGTAGGGTAAGTAAATCAGCACAGTAAAAAATGTGCCCTTCACTGTAGAGGGACTTTAAATAGAGTGTGTGGGAGTGGCGTGTTACCTAGAGACAAGAAGACAGAGCTGGGGGCACTTAAGCTGGCTGGACACCCACAAGTCTGGGGGCCAGAGGGGAAGCACCCAAAGGTGCTGAGGGAGCTGCCTTGTGGTGCCCACTGCCATCTTTGGAAGGTCACATCTGCCTGATGAATGGAAGATCTGGAAGATGTCTCTGCCCTCCTCACCAAAGTCCACCTGGGCCAACTGCAGCCTGATTGCCCTTAGCTGAGTGAGGTTAGGGACAAACTCCTAAAAGTGTTTGAAGGAGAGGAAGGTGACTGGGAAATGCCAGCTTGAATTTACCAGGAGCAAACTGCACCTGATCAGCTTGGAAGCTTTTGGAGGTGGTGCTGACTGGCTGCTCTGCGAACAAGGGGAGAGCAGTTGATGTCGTCTGTTACCACAGCAGCCTTGGAGCCAACTGTAGTCCACCCTGAGAGATGGACTGGAGAGGTGGATGGGTAGAAATCGGTTGCACTGTTGGCCTCAGTTGGAGTCAGCAGCAGAGTCCAGCTTGTGGCCCCGTATCTTTCAACATTCCATATTGGAAATATTGTATTTATTACTGGCCTGCCTCATGGGCTGGAGTCCTCTTAGTAAACTCCCAAGGGAGCTTGAACTAAGTTTGCACCTCCGTGAAGGTAGAGATGGAGCTGGGCCCTGCCCCGAGAGGCACAGTGCAAGGATGAGGGGCAGCAGCCAAGGAGGAGATGAGAAACCTGGTTTAGGAGGTGTGGGGAAAAAACATTCTGTGCAAAAGTTTTTAAGCAGGGAGTCAGGGCCCCAGAAAGTCTGCGGGATCTCCACCCTCCAAAACAGCTGCGACTGAGCCCTTCCCTGTGCTGCATGCGAGCAGCTGGCATGAGTGCTGCAGCCCCCCTTCTGCTGCGCAGTGGCCACAGGGCAGCACCCCTGCCTGGTGCCGGGGTGGCGACACGGCGCCTTCCCTCGCAGGGCAAGCGGCTGAGTCTGACGTTGCTGCCCCCGGTCCCCCCTGGCAGCACTGCCAGCCCTGTGGGCCTGCCGGGCCAGGCACAGGCTGTGCTGCCTCCCCTGTGCGGGGGCCACCTCACCCCGCCTTCCCCTGGGCACGCTCAGCCCTTTCCAGCTTCGGACGGAGCCCCCTTTGCCTCCACCCGCCCTGAGGGCAGCGTGGGCATCATGGGGTGCAGTGAGCGGCAGCACCTCCTGACAGGGCTGCACTCATCCCCCATGGCCATGTGCAGGACTGCACTTCTGGGGCTGCCCTCCAGGAAAGACCGAGAGGGCACAGAGTGTGGTGCCAGCCCCTGTGGCATGTCCCACAGCGAGAGCCTGTCCCCTGTGGTCTCCCACCCCTCTCCGGGACTGTGCCATGGGCTTGGCGTGCAGGGGACAGAGAACAGCCTAAACTCTTTGCGCGGATGAGAGGCCGTGTAAGTGGATGAACCCACTCTGCAGCCCTTCCTTGGTGGCAATGGACAAGGACCCAAGTGGGAACAGCCTCAAAGGGCTGAGCTGGCCCCACTGTCCAAGAGAAAGGAAGAATAACACATTTCCCAGGGCTGTATCTTTGCTAGCAGTCACAGTTTATGCAGGACCAACATCATCTGGCTGCTCCCCAGCCTCGAAGGGCAGCCGTTGCTGTAACCCTCTGTAAACACGATGACAAATACAGGTTTAAGACTGTACTTTGAAACATTCATATAAGGGAAAGACAAAAAAGTTGTTGTCCTGCCCTGAGCTGGGCGGGCGGCATTAGTCCAA